TGTGACTGAGGTGAGGTCATTCTTGAGGATGACAGGCTACTACAGACCGTTTGTAAAGAATTACAGCACTATAGCCTCCCCATTGACTGATCTCACACGCCTTGACACCCCTTGGGAGTGGACCGGAGAGAGTGTAGAAGCCTTCAAGAAATTGAAGTATGCTCTGACACACTATGAAGTCCTTAAACTTCCGGATCCTAAGTAGCCATTTATCGTGACCACAGACGCCATCCAATACGGCATAGGCGCGACCCTTGCGCAAAAGGAGAGGAAAAAGTTGAGGCCCATTGAGTACATGAGCAAAAAGATGCCATCTCATAAATTAGCAAAGTCCACGTATGAGCGGGAGCTTTATGCCCTCTATAGAGCGCTGGTCCATTGGAGACACTATCTCCTAGGCAGATTCTTCTATGTGAGATCTGACCATGAGACTTTGCGCTGGATCAAGACACAACTGTACTCTGAGACGCACTCAAGAGGTGGATTCAAGTGATATACATGTATGACTATCAACTTGACCCAATTAAGGGAGAGTATAAAAAGGTGGTTGATGCACTATCGCGTAGGGCAGACTATCTGGGCGCGCTAGTAACTGAGTTTGAGATATCTGAAGATGTAACTCGATCTTTGGTGGAAGCCTATCGAGAAGACGCAGTTATATCAAAAATAATCCGTAAGTTAGAAGCTAAAGACAAAGTAACTTCTGACGAATTTACGGTGGTCAACGACTTACTGTTCCTTCAGAAGGTTGGGAATAAAAGACTGTGTGTTCCAAATAGGGAATCTTTCCGTAGTTTGTTTTTAGGAGAGTGTCATGATGCAATTGAGCATTTTGGTTTTAAGAAAACAACTGCTAATCTAGTCCAGAAATTTTGGTGGCCTACAATGATGAATGATGCAAAACGGTATGTGGAAACTTGTCAGGTTTGTCAACACGACAAGCCTAGGACACAGGCACCGATTGGGCTGATCAAGCCCCTGCCTATCCCCACTGGACCTGATCAGAGTGTGTCCATGGACTTCATGGATGCTCTTGTGACCAACAAGCGCGGGAAAAGACACATCTTCGTCATTGTACATAAGTTTACCAAGTATGCCAGACTAATCGCTATGCCAGAAACTGCTAAAACTGACTACGCCTTCAAGCTGTTTATGAACAATTGGGTACGTGATTTTGGTCTCCCTACGTCTATTGTAAGCGACAGGGATGTGAGATTCACCAGTGAATTGTGGCAATCAACAACCCAACAGACGGGCACCCGACTGCAAATGACATCAGGGAATCACCCTGAGTCAAACGGCCAGGTAGAACAAATGAACCGAGTAGTGCAGCACCTGCTTCGGCATTACATCAAGCCAAGTCAGGATGACTGGGACGAGAAACTACCTCTCATTGTCAACCTATGCAACAACGCTGTGCATAACACTACTAGTACGACTCCCAACCAACTGCATCTTGGTTGGAAGCACAAAACTGCACTTGACTTTCAGCCACCTGAGAAGAAGTTGACTGCAACACCCGGCAGTCAAATATGAACAAATGCTACAGCAGGCCGTTGAACATATTAGGAAGTCTCAAGGTGCTATGATTGCATATGAGAACAAACATAGACAACCGTCTAATTTTCAGGTAGGGGACAAAGTCTGGGTTAAGTCGTCCGAACTGGGTCAGGAGTTGGGAATTTCACGAAAATTAATGCCTCAGTATTTCGGTCCCTGGGAGGTCCTAGACATAGTTGGGGATCACATAGATGGACCTTCCTATGTGATTCTCATCCCTGCTCACCTACGCACACACCCAGTCTTTCACGCTTCAAAGCTGGCACCTTTTGCAGAGACTGCACAGTTTCCCTCCAAACAATCAATGCTGCCCCCAACCATGGATGGCGAAGTCGACATCGACGAAATCGTGGAGCACCAGGTGATGCCAGTGCCTAAACCTCCCGGTAGAGACCGACCTCCAAAGCCAAGGATGCAGTACCGTGTCAGATTCAGACACCATACTGATCCCAGTGAAGATCGGTGGTTTACCAGAGAAGAACTCTAGCAAACAGCTCCGCAAGTGATTGCAGGCTATGAAAGAGGTCTCAAGGGAAAGATGTCTGCAGATTAAAGGACTTCTCAGGGGACTATCGAAGTAAAGGAAGAGGGAATGCGGAGATTTGGCTCCTCGGCAGGCCTAAGGGGCCCCTTACACAAGTGTGCGGCCCTAACAAATCACGAGAGGCCCAATGCAGTCAATTTCCTATGTGGGGCTCAGGCAGTTAAGACGCGTCAGTTGGTTGTTGGAACCCAGGTCCCGAGAAGCAAATACTTTCCACGGCCTTCTAGGCCTTTTCTGAAAGGCAGGCCCTGGGCCACATACGCAGCAATATACACAGACAGTTAGGAGGCGTAACCGAACGAGGCCCAGCAACAGCAGCAGACGCCCAGCTACATGGGGCCTACCAGAAGCTTCTGGGCGCAGGCCAGGCCAGACTCTTTCCATCTAGGAAAGAGCTCGCTGCCTGGCAATTCATTCGGGCACTTGCCAGTTTGCAGCAGCGCTGCTGGGGCGGACGCTCGCGGGCTGCTGCTAGCGCTGGGGCAAGGTGCTGCACACGTGCGGTCGTGTAGGAAGAAGGGTGCTGCTCTGGGCAGCGCCATAGCCCAGCTTCCATAGCTGGCTGGGCTTGGACACACAGCAAGGCGCAGGGGTGGTCTTCGGGTGTAAAAAGGGAAGACAACGAAGAGAGAGAGAGAGAGAGAGAGAGAGAGAGAGAGAGAGAGAGAGAGAGAGAGAGAGAGAGAGAGAGAGAGAGAGAGAGAGAGAG